CACACACACACACACACACACACACACACTTTTTTTACTCCCGTCCCCGCTCCAACTACTTCATCTCTAACAAGAGTCGCGTGATGTTGAACACCGTTTACTCCACACCGGTGTTGCAAAATCTCTGATCGATGGGAAACTATAGTATAGATAGATAGATAGATAGATAGATAGATAGATAGATAGATAGATAGATAGATAGATAGATAGATAGATAGATAGATAGATAGATCGATAGATAATAAATAGATATGTTTTCACTCACAAATAGAACCCACAGTCACAGGCATATGATATGATGGCATATAATTATTGCAAGAAGGATGCAAGATGAATAATCAATATTGCGATAGTAATCGGATGGTACATGGCCTACCAGTGACAGCATTCAACCACCCACACTTCCAGAAACAACAGAGGGGGAGAAAAGAAGTAGGACCTACCAGGGGGACACAGAAGTTTTTTAGATTAATGGATGGACATGATGTAAATAACTGCGTGATGATAGAAGTCTCGGCAGGCTGATCTTTGCCGAGTTACGGCTCTTACACACCAAACATCCGCGTTCGTGTGGTAGTGTGCATTCGTCTTACGCACGAGCGTGTGCCCATTCACACCCATCATCCGTCTATTCGTGCGTGTTTTATATCATCATGGATGCTAAGACTAAACCGAAGATTTTAGTGTTGTTGAAAGAAAGAAAAAAGAGGAAGAATATGAGGCACTGGATCCACCCAGTTTTGGTTGATAGACAATTATTATATAGCGAATATCACCATCTGCTACCCCAAATTTTGTCACATGAAGACACATTATGTATTAGATACATTGGAATGAGACCAGATACATTTGGCAGCTTCTTGAGTTTGCTGACACTCCATTTTGAAATAAAAGAGCACAAAGTACAGTCAAACGAAAGACATAAATAAAAGATAGATACATTTTTCCATTAAAATGTTTTAGCTCAGCCCTCACTGATTTTTTAAGATCCCATTTTAATAATAGATATCCAACACAAAACGATAACTATATTTCCGCTTTGAAGGAGTAACTGTAACACTACTTCAAATTAAGAACACACAGATCTTCACACAAACGCTATGATATTATTATGTGAATGATCATTTATCAGTTTCGATCCTACTTCTGTCGTTTTAACAACTGTTCGATTACACATGGCGGGAAGGGGGGGGGGCGAGTTAAGGATCGAACTTTAGCGCTCCTAGGGCTGTGACGTCATGGGAGCCGAATTGCATTGCGTTCGCATGAACATGAACAGTTGGTGGGAACACAGAAAGGGCACAGATAAGAAATACATATTATACATTCTTTCGTGGGTCTCACACTCGATACCACACAAACGCAGATATTAGGTGTGTACGAGCCGTTAGGTAGACAAAAGGCAGTTTGGGGAGGTGGGGGGGGGGGGGGGGGGGAGGGGGGGTACTGCCGCGCGTCGCTGTTAATAAAGTGTAGTTTCAAATTTCAAAATATGATCCCGTTTCTTTTCATTCTCTCAATGGCCTTGGACGTCTCCCATTACGCAGAAGCAGGACATTTTTAACGACTTGTCAAGCAAACGTTTCCCTTAAGACGAGACCTATATAGCGACTACAGTTCGCCCTGCTTTAGACACAGCCCTAGATTAGCGCACGACGCAATTATGCTTTTTACAAGGGGCAACGTGATACTGAGCGTCTGCAAGGGCTCTGTGCGCAGAGTACGTGTTGTATTGACGTAGAGTGCAGGGGGCGGATTGTTTTTTCTTCCTTATAGAAAGCTTACAAGAGGGAGGGATTGGATTTGGGTAGCCGAACGGTACATACATTTTGAAAAATCAGACAATTGTGAAACTGAGAAAAAATCGTGACAATTCAGCCAAATTCGTAATGGTGGGCAGTCCTGCATAAATGAAGATGAACAGTGTTAGTGAGATGAGATGTGTTTTTTAAAGCATTTATGGACTGTCATTCAAGGCATCTATCAATCAGTATTGAATCTGGATTTGAATGCAGGGTGACTGCCAAACTTACTTAAAACCCATAGCCCGTACCAATAAAAACTACATTGGCATACCTATCTAAGGGCACTGATAAGTCCTGTGTGATTTTGGTTTGACAGTTAAATTCAACTAGTTTTCCTCTAACTATAAATAATCCTGATCTGGGCGTGCGGAAAGGCTAGAACATCAACTGTGAAAACCATGTCTGGGTTTCAGCATTCGCTGATTTTAAAAAGCGTGCGGAAATTTTGAGCTTTTCGAGGGTTGAAAATGGCATTTTTCATTGCCTCTATTCAATTTGCCTTCGAACCATTGACAGTAGACTACGCAAATCCTGGAACATCCATCTTGAGGACACACCAAGTCTGTACTCTAATTTTCCTCCGTTTACGCATTCGATTACCTAATGTTTGTCTTCTTCAGAGCACCACTTCTACTTATCTTTAATTTGAGCATCAGTGTCTGGTATCGCAGCCTTATCCTCATATTGACATTCTCAAGATTCAGACAGATTTGAAAAAGTTTTTTTCTGATACGGATTTTCTGTCTACATTCGCCGTTCAGATTCCTTGATCAACGCACAGATTTTCCAGACACAACAAAATCCCGAAAATAGACAGAAAGAATGAGTGAATGAAAGGAAGGAGGAAGATAAGCTGTCGTAAAATTAGCCATATTTTAGCCGACTGGCTAGCGAAAATGCTTTGTCGACCATAGATTTACAGAGGGACAATGGTCGAGTGTACAAAATGACAAAATGCGCAATCTTGAAGGTTTCTAATACAACTCATTCCCGAGAATTATTGTCGTAAATATCCGAGAGGTTATGGAGGCTTGTGGAGGCAAGTTCGGATTCTTTGCAACGGAATACCGATAAGCCTTTAGATCTTTTCATCTCTCTCTCTCTCTTTTTCTTCTTAAACGTGTGCAGTTGATATGATGATAAGGCAAGTACGGATCTTTCGGAAAATACCGGTTTCGTAAAAACAGGGGAGATTGGAAGCGCTGCCGAACAGACCCCATCGCAAATCTGGTAGTTTTGACACATTTATCTGTATGACGGTAGAACAGGTCTAAAATCGGTAACTACCGGAAAAATCGGTAGATTTAGGCAGCCCTGATAATTTAAAGGCCATAGAATTAAAGGTCATACAACATGAACCTGTAGTTTTACAAGATGGTTAAGACTGCAGGAGTTTAATAGATGATGGCCAAAAAATTACCTTCCGTATCTTTCTCACACAACAGCCCCTCATATCTGTGGAAAAAGAAGCGACTTCTGTTATTTACTGTTATTTTTGTGCCTTCCTCAGGGCTACCTCATCGTCCCTGAGTTCTTCAAGAAAGAGGAACTGGACGCGTGCCGTAAAGATATCGAGAAACTGGTGGAGGACCTGGCCCAGTGGCTCTACAAGGCGGGGAAGATCAAAGGTCTGTCTGTGTCTTTTGTCTCCTCAGGTCAGACATTAACGTTGGTATAAGTGATCGTGAACGATTGTGGTTGTCTGGAAAAAACTATAAAAAAAGATTTATCTAGTGTCAAGACCTTATACATGTAGATATACTCTAGAGCATACCACACCAAGTACTCAGGCTATAATGGAAGTAGGACAAACAAAAGATGGATCGCCGCAGTCAAGGGAACCATGAGAAACTAGAACATCTCAATTGAAAGAGCTGCAGAGTTGGCCTACCCTGGAACACTGAACCTCCTCTCGACACTTGACGGCAACATAGAATAAAAAAGTAACCGTAATTGTATAATATAATATAATATGTTTTTTAAGAGGAGCATAAAGACACACTATGAATACAGTCGATGTCGTTCTAATGGTCACCTGTATAAAACAATCACCTGTACAAACAGTCACTTCCCATTTCCTCCCTAACTGTTAAAAAAACAACATACAATGGTGCAGTGTAAGACTCCCAGATGTCTAAGACGACCATTTTCCTCCTCGACAATTGTTGCCCGTTTTAGACAATTAAAACTGTGCGTCTATTTCATTCCTTCCTGATTTTACACGTACATTTTCAAAGGGGTTGTTATTTGCACAAAGATATATGTTGCTGGTACAGATGTTTATTTATTTATTCTTTCTTAAGTGGTAGTAAACGATTATCGTTGTAATTTTTTTCTTTAGTCCAGGTTTTACAGCGCTCGCAACTGCATAAGGTCATATGAGCGCCAGGGGGTGAATGTCAACAAAGAAGTCCTTACATGGAATCGGGCTTACTCTGCTCACCTCTCTAGCTTCAATAGCACAAAGTCTGCTTCGACTACCAAATGCACCCCGGAAATAGCAAGTCACAAGAGTGTGACCAACATACAAACGAAGTAGAGAAAAAATGACGGTAGTAAGAATTAGGAAAGAAAAAGCAGCAGTTCCTTGTTCCAGTTCAGGCACAGATATAAGCATGCCATTGATGAACCAGTCCATTTACAATTCTACTGTGCATAAGAACATATTAATGTTCCTCTTTCGAAATGGCCTATAGGCACTTTAGTCAGTAGCACCGCCCCGGGGGCATTGTAATTGTTTGTGCTTCTATCAACGCTGTTTTGATCTAGTAGGAGGCTGGCTACTTTGCACTGCATGTCATTTGAGGTTTCCTGTGACAAAGATCCTTTATAAAAGGGATTTACAATTTTCATCACCTGCATGCAAAGTGGAGAGTCTTTCCTTTATGACATTGACGACAGGCACCTGTAAAGTTAAAATTATATAGCATTGAATTATTATCTTTTCAAAAGACCTTGAAGACTTTCATGTTTGTTAGTTGCTGTTGTAAAGATAGTTTTAGAAAGACTTCTGTTTATTGGAAAGATTATTTTAAATCAAATAGTTAATGACAGTAACAATAATTTTCATTGTAATATTTCCCAGTGCTTAAGGATTAAATAAATAAAACAAGCTCCCAAATTAAAGGTATCAATTATTCTTATTGTCACCATCATTTGCATGCCAGTTGTCAGCAGTGGGACCCTTGTAGCCTTTTCAGAGAACCGAGTTTGTGTCCACTGAACAGATTTCTCACTGTTTATTCAGAAACCTCCTCTGTGGATTTCTTTAATTTTACCAGCAAGGTTTTTTGAAAACTGAACATACTCATGTTGTACGGATGGAAATTTGAATATGTAGTATTATTGTGATAAGACCTTGTACAGTATAGATCTAGCCCTTTATAAAATAAAATAAAGATAATCTATGAAAATAACTGTTTCAATGTCACTAATGTTGCACTTAAATAAAACTTTTGAGTCTGTGAGGATGTTGTAGTTATTCACACAAAGATTATGTCGTTGTTGTTGTGGTTTTCTTTTTTATTTCTCACCCATATTACTCATGACTAGATAGAGGACTTATTAGTTTTGTGGTTACGTGTACCGCATCATCACAAGAAATGAAGAAAGATAAGTCGGAAAGCTCACTGAACTTGACCAGCGTTTGTAACTGTCTAACATCTGTGTGGTGCTTTTCCAGATCTACACACGGACAAGGGTCTCTTTCAGAGACTGACTTACCTTGAAAATGAATTCCCAGGAAGTAATATCATTCTCCATAAACAGGGGAAGCTTGCTCAGGTACGGTAATATAGACACTGTGCCTTGCTTTTCCCTTGCTTTGTGCTTTTTGTGTTTGACTTTATTTCTGTACTCTGTGCTTGTCCGTTGCTTACTTCTTAACACAGGAGCTGTCTTTGCTTTTTACCTGTTGAATGTAGATGTAGGGTGCGTAAATTTAATCTGAGCCCTTTGCCTTTTTTGTGCATTGCAATACTCATGTTTCGCTTGTTGTGGAGGCCTTGGTATCGATTTACGATTAACCGGTGCCATACTACATGTATATTCACATGTGCTATTCTGAGTCTGAAAAAATCTTTTGTCAAACATGTTCCTCTTCTGTCCACTTGTGAGCTTCATTCTGTGCAATGTACTAAACGTTGCTCCTGACAAGAAACACAGTTGGCTCTTATGCATTACTTTTTTTTTTATCTTACTTCACTTGCACCCACTGCTTCGTTTTCCTGGGAACATACATTGAATGCCAAAGTGCAAAGAGCTAGAAAGCTATCTAGGCTGTAAAGATTGTGGTGTATGTAACTAGGCCTATTATTCAAAAACAAATGCAAAAGTGCAATCTATTTTATGACAATTCCCTGATCTCTACTTGTATGCTAGCACGTTTTCATGGTCTCTTTTATATGTCAATGTGTTTGTTTATTTGACACTTTAGGCAAATACATTTAAACTTAACATAAGCACATAGGTTCAGAGTGTTCCTTTCAACTTCAGCCATAAACCCAATTCAACACCAAGGGACTAACATGTGCTTGCCAAGATTTCGATGAATATAATATAGCTAAAACAGACTGCAGTTAAGAACTGCTTTTAAAGATTGCATTAGTGAAAGATCAATAAAGACTAAGACAACAAACAAAAACTTGTAAAGTCTACTTCTACTTTGGGCTGATGGGCATGAGCCTAAAGATACATGCAGTTGGATTAAAAAAACCTCGAAGAACCACACTAATACTGGTAACACTTCTGAGTTTTATTATCCGGGATCTACCTTTTTTTAAAAGATAGGCCCAAAGGGAACATTCAAGTCTGGATGGCACCATTTACTTTGTTTTCAGTGTTGCTGTCACAGATGTCTTTATCTGAATTCTAGCTCTCGCATGATCTTGTTGCAGGTGGTTGAGGGGTGCCATTGGTAACCTCTTTCCCCCTCCCATTTCCCCGTCTTTCCATGAGTCCTTTTGCTGGAATAAATGGCTGCTATTATGTCGCCGTGCTTCCATTTACTCAAACAAACAAACAATTCCAAAGTGCCATTATCAGAACCTCTGGTTCAAATGGGATCTTCGTTCTGGACAGAGTATCATCGTTCAGTTTACAGAACACTTGTAATGAAATAGCACTCTTATGTATGCGTCCTCTACTTCTTTTTCAGTGTGGCTGTCGTTCAAATCTTCATCCTTTTACCTCAAACATGTCTAAATGATGAATTGTTCCGTCGTACATGCAATGGGTGCATCTTCTAACGATAACCCAATTGTTCTCAATCCTTTGTTTTAAAATCCTTCGAAAGACGAACCTCTTATTGGTGATACTGTAGTGAATCGATGCCAGTATTCACACACTTTTTGAGAACACAAAAAAAAAATTTGTTAAAGAAGTAAAGTTTTTGTTTTTTTGTCTTTTTAAAGTGACATCTGTGAAGAATAAGATAAATACCCCATTTTCTCATTGGAAGCGTTTTCAACTTTTAATGTAGCATAGAGAAAGATCGCCGTGTTAAGAAACATTCTTTTGATTTTCAAATATGTGAGCTGATTCTACAACATAACACAGCGATCACAGCTCAAAAAGATTGCAAATCGAATGCTTTGGTTATGAAGTGATTTTAGATCTATGCAAAACTGTATGCATTCGTTCTCACATTTTTTGTCAATACAAACATTTGCTTTAATACCGTTGGTATTGCTTGTATCGAAACAAAATTACATCAAAGAAAAATTGTTCGTCGTTCTCGGATAGTCTTTTGGTAAAAGTTTATCGCTCGAGAGTGCTCCTGAAGCAGTCACTTTCAAAACTTATACCCGCCGTCCCCAGAGCTTCCGGGACTTGTGGTCCAATGAGCGCTTGTTGAATGTGCTGGAGCAGCTGATTGGTCCAGAGATCGTAGGCCATCCGGTGTGGAACCTCCGGACCAAGACACCGCAAAACGAGGAGACCACCGTGCCTTGGCATCAGGGTGAGTAAATGTCTGGCTATTTGGTGGGGTTAAAATAGTTTTGCTTCAGTAGCTTAGCGAGAATGAAAGACGGAGTATCATATTTTCCCAAGTTTTCACCCTGTTTTAGGGCCATGTTTAGAAAAGAAATAAAGTTTTCACGCTTGACGTGTTGTGGGGCTTTTTTTCCTATAGGAAAATAGTATTCTTCAGTGCAGAGCAGTTTATGTTATGTCGTCACTAGTTTCTCCCAAGTCTCATGGTTTCTGCCCCTCCTCCATTCTGTATGTATCCATGGCAGAAACATTAACTGCGTGTAAAACGCATTATTTTCATTAATTTGATGTAATAACGATACTTTCTCTGAGTTATGACATTGTACTTGCTATTGACTTCATTGTCAGCTCCACCGCGTATGGTGCAACAATGGGAAAGGTATTTCTTCTTGCTGTGAACCTATCACTGTTACTTTTTCTTCTTTTCCACAGCTGTAATGTTCCACCTGCTTGTCTCTCTCGAACGAAATTTGCGGTTACTGACCTTGAGTGCTTTACAGGCTGCCACATTGTATGCCCACGAGTGGACTGGAGAGAATATAGAATTGGGAATTGAATGGAGTCACAAAAGCCTTCGATTAGAAGGGATACACTTGCTGTGAAACTGTCACGGTTACTTTTTCTTTTTTTTGCTGCTTATTTTCGTGCAATTTACTTTTGCTGTTTGTTTTCTAACAATGCCACGACAAAATACGAAATCCAATAGCAGCTAAGCCAGTGGACAGCCCAAAAAAACATGGCTACATGGAATCGAAAACGCCTGGATCATACAAAGTCCCATTATGTCAGGACGTCCGACTCACACGAGACAAACACCACTTTCTTGACATGTCAACCACGTGTGCAACAGCCATATACGATAAAATAATGAAAGAATTTTGAAAGAAGTAGTTTTCAATTGACTGGCAGGTTTTTGTCTGTTTTTACATTTAGTGTCCTATACATTGACATTTATATACTTAAACCTATTTCCTGGTGAGGTATTACTATTATCGCCTTATTTTCCGTGCCAGTAAAACAGCTTAGCATCCACTTGAAGGTACTAATATTCCGTTCTTGTGATTCTCGGAACCTGCTTTAAGTTCCACATATGTGTTTCAGACAGCGCCTACCTAGACAACGACTCGTACAGTGTCCTTCAGCCTACTGCCTGGATCCCTCTGTTGGACGCTAATGAGAACAACGGCTGCATGGAGGTTTGGACTTTTCGGGGTTAAAAAAAAAGAAATGTTAACCTGTATTTAAGTAGTCTCGTAGACGTTGAATATCCATCTAATTTTGCCCTTCTATAGTCTCCGCGGGTCTTGCATTTTCCCCACGGCGACGGGAACGTTTAGTGTTGTCGTGCCCCTAATAGAGATAGGCGAGAACCAACTGACTTGTATCGTTAGCAAGTTGTTTTCTTTGGTAAGTTAGCCCTCAGTGCTTATTAATTGTTGTCTTAGTACATTATATCCGTATACCCCTTAGAACTATAGATCACAGAAGTTGTCCCTATAGTAAACATGTTCAAATGTCCAAAGGGATTAAATAGATTTGCACTCTAATGTCTTAGTTTTGTTCGAAGCAAAGTCAATAAAAATTTCTTATGCCTCATTTTTCTCTCGTTTTACATAATGTACTCCATTTGTCTGACCAGTAGGTGGTGTCTGGCGGTCACCTGACGGGCAAGATAGCCAGACACACCTGCTGCTGGGGCAACACCTGGTATTTGGAGCTCAGTGAAAAGGACATCGACGACTCTCTGGGTACATGCAGTATTTTACCATTCTGGTTGACGTCATAAACTCAATATCGGATATGTTTCATTTTTTTGTTTTGTTTTACGGCTCTTGCAATACGATGAGGTCATATCATGAGTGCCAAAGATTGGAGAAGTTACAAACACAACAAAGAAGGAGCAATACGGACGATAGATGTTTTGATGGGAAAGAATGAACAAATCACACAACAGAAATGTTTCAATAGACTCGTTTATATCATGGGCACTTTCTTGGTGAAAGTTACACTTGCTAATCATCTATCAACATGCCTTGTTTTATTTACCAATTTTTAAAAATCATATCCATTCAACATACTTTTTTTCAGCTTGATTTCAATGATAATGCTGTGTTCATGCATACAGGAGTAACGGAGCCGAATAAGACAAAAATTTTAAGTCCAGCAGGTCGGGGCTACTCTGGATACATTTCGCCGAGCAATCGGCCTCCCTCCCAGAGTAATGTTTCATGCTCGCCGTGTGAAACTATTACTTGGAAGCTTGCCGAAATTTTCAAACATGTTTAAAACTTTCTCCGAGTGAAAATTGAGTCGTCGAGCTCTGGAAATACTGGGAGGACCCAGGTAGTGTCAGAAATAGCTCAGCGTACAAAGTTGCATACGTTGCCAAGTGACAGTGACACGCCGACGAGATCTGAATGGTTGCCGAGTTAAATTTCATACTCTGCAGGTTGAATTATTGCTCGCGGTGTAAAAATCTTGCACTGAGAGTCTGAGTTACTCTTGCACGGCGTGCAAAAGTTGACACGACGAGCATGCACCGTGACACGGCAGCTTGATGCCAGGTTCCAGGGACTGCCTCCATAAGGTGTTGGCCTTGTGGATGGTGGGACCAGTTTTCTCCTGTAGTTCTTGGAAAAACTCCGAAGAAGTTCCTGAAGGATGCTACATCTTCAATTTGCAGTTCAGCCATCAGCTTTTCAAACTGTCCAAACGTGGGTCTTCTTATTAGCCATGGTCTAACCCAACATGTCTTCCTCCTCCTCTTCTTCCTCCTCTTCTCCTCTTCTAGCACCAGCGCAACTGCAATGGCACTATATGCATACATGAAGTACGCATCCATCGGCTGTGTCACATGAGATATATTGAAGGATTGAGCACAAACATTTTGCATATTTTATTACAACATTGCACGCCAACTAACTCGGCGACGGGTCGGCAAGATTGGGCAAGATGGTTTGCTCGGCGAGCGTCTCCCCGATTGCTCGTCAACACAATAATGTCAACAGTCATGGCCAGATGCTCGTCACGATTAAACCCGAATTCGGCATTACCTTATCGGGAATTGCTCGTCGGCTGTTCTCCTGTATGTGTGAACACCGCATAAATGACATCATTCCGTCAATGCGAAATATTTTAATTTTGACAATTATTTTTCTTCGGAAAGCCTTGTTAAATCCTTAGATTTTAGTTTTCAAGTTACATGTGAACTAATCGTTCGTCGTTCTTTTTTGTCTTCACCATCCTCATTCTTTGGAAACTATTTTTTGCAATTTGTATATATTGCACGTGCTATCCAATGCTGAAGATGTTCTTTGAGCAAGCGTGGTCAACGTTGTATGCAGTTAAAGGCAGCTAGCGTTCTCTCCTCAAAATGATATATAGTGCGGTCAAAATTAATTCGGGACGCAACTTATCCTCAAATATCTCTTGAACGAGTGAATCATTGTCATTCATAATTATTTTGCATAGCAGTTTGTATAAATTTGTCTTAATTTATTCTTATTTTCCCACGTCAATTGAGGATAGATTAAAAAACATTTCTTCGTAAATGTATATAAAATACTACAAATCTCCTTCAGACTTCCTGCTTCTCACATACATTTTGCGTACACGGCCTACGTCACAGCTCACCAAGGTGGCAAACCTAGTTATAAGAAATTGATTCTATAGTGAACACTTTTTCGCACTAAGCGTTCTCCAACCATGCGTTCAATAAAAATGGTCTCGCAATTAGATAAAAAAAAAAGGACCGACTTGCTTTTAGAAGCGATATTGTCCCAGCTGTAAACCTTTTAAAATCTGTAGAAAAGACCCACTGGGATTTATTACTAGCATTATTAAGGAATTTTCTAGAATTGAGCTAACAGGTGTTTACAAAAAAATTAATCACTGAAGGCAAATTGATACAAGTCACTGTGCATAAGTTGGAGAGTTTATGTTCAACAGTTGATGAGATATTTGACAATACGTTGCGCCACGAAGTTTTGACCGGACTATATAGTTATCTGTATCCTTTATATTAAACCACAGAGGTGACTGTGGCCAAGGACAAGGTGCTGTGTGAAGTGCCCTATGGAGGAATGTTGCTCATCAACAACCTCATACCTCACAGAAGGTACGATCAGGAATCTTTAAAAAACAAACATATACATATTATAATTTCGAAGGAAAAAATGTGCATTGACATAATTTACCTCGTAAAATAATATTTCAAAAGAAAAATTTGCTGTTATAGAACAGAACTTTCCTTAAAAAAAAAAAAAGAGAACAGACTTTCGGTTGCCGACATTTCTTTTATCATTTCATACAAATACATTGTATAACTTACTGACTTCTGATAATAATAAGTAATTCCTTAAACGTTCATCAGTTTAATGTTCTTTATATTCTTTGACCCAAGCTGTTATACTGTTGACAGTAATTTTTAGTAAGTGTTCAATTGCAGTATGCCACGTTAACCCTTTACTTATTATGCGTTCTTATTTTCCCAATCCATTCTTAGCTAAATGTGACCATAAACGTGCTGACTTCCAGTCAGATGGCGCCTCTTTTGTTGTCCCACTATCATACTTGTAAATATCATACTTGTAAATAATACTATCTTTTTTATTGTGTCAGTTTAAACAACCTCTCCAATGACATCCGCTGGAGTCTGGACCTAAGATGGCAGC